TTGCAGAAACAAGCCTGCCACCTTGAAGCCCAAAACGTTATCCCCAGAATGCCTCTGCTGGGGAGTTACCAGGTGGTTCAGGAGCTGCTCACACCATGCCGCTCGCCCACTGCTTTTCCCTCCTGCTGCGACGTGAGGCTGGCAGCCCCAGCCGCTGAAATTCCTCCCTGAGACACACCAGGGGTGGAAAGATGCTGGGAAACTGCAAGGGGGGCAATGAGAAACAACCAAATCATGGGAACTGGAAGGGCTGATGGTAGTTAAAGTAGTAAAGTAATTAAACATGTGGTGTTTGACTCACGGCATCCTATCGCTGCAGCCCCCAGTGGCTGCACCAAGGGGAAAGGGCAGGCATTTTCTGGGTCCTCTCTTTCCTGTGACCCCACAATTTTCAGGAGGGTTTTTTCTCCTGCAAGACTCACACTGGGTTTGACTTGGCTTTTCGAATACACCGAGCTCTGCTTTACCAGCACGATGCGCTTTCAGCCCAGTTAGAAGCAGCAGCTGGAAGCTGACACACGCTGCTCCTCCAAGGCTGACCACAGCCACATCCACCACCGCCTCCAAGAGCAGCCCTGCACTGCCCGAGGAGTCGGGGCTGCCGTGGTACACAGCCTCCTCTACCCTCAGCCGACAACCTCGTTGCGCATCCCAGTGGGTGCGGCGAGACATGGGCAACCAGGGCACCCTCGGGTCCGCGCTCCGAAGTGCTGCAGCGCAAGTGCTGGAGGAGATTCGAGGCCTCGGGGTGAAATGGCTTTTTCCAGCTGATGGTTTAAGCACCCCGGGGAGAGGTGGCCCAGCTGGTCTGATGAGCCCTGCCCGAGCACGTCCGGCATTTCTCAAGCGCTTGGGCACAAGAAGCTTCTCCTGTGACACACTTTTTTTTGGTTTCCCCCGAAAGAGACATCAGCTCCTCATTGCACCGAGTTCTTTCAAACTCCACTTTGCCAGGGGAGACCTCTGCCATGGCCAAGCCGTGTCGCTGCCGAGGACGGGCGCGCAGGGGAGGTAACGCTCACAGCTTACAGAGCTGCCTGTCCCGTGGGCCAGCACAGCATCCCTTCCCAGCGTGTGGGAGGGCAGCAGCTCTGTTCCCATCTTTTCGGATGATCCCCCCAGAAGATGGCTCCTGATGAGGTTTCAAGCCCTTTCCCCCACGTGGGAGGGGGCTGCTGTGGGAGGAACAGGGCTGGCTCGGCGCTGGGCACCCGTGCCAGGGGGGGCTCAGCAGCACAACCCTGCTGACCACCACCACCGCTGCGGGGCTCTGGGATGCTGCTCACGTGGGACCCCCACGCGTAGCTGCACTTTCTGCGTGGACTTGCTGCCGAAAGCAATGGGATGTAGGGAACGGGGCGGCCCCACCAGCATCCCCCCTCCCCGCACCCCACAGGGGTCAGACAGGCTCCACCAGCCCAGAAAAACGTTTCTCTCCCCTCGCCTGACAAC